CACACACACACACACACACTCACACACACTCTTCTCTGCTACACTCGTGACAGTTCAGAACAACTAACTTGATGGAACAAACAGTCTTCTTTTCAAAGGTGCAATTTCTGCTGGAAATTAAGTTGTTTGTTAGTACTAAATTGACTTCTGATTTGTATTGCCTCTAAAGAAATAATAATGGGTATTTATTTAATATGAGACTAGACATTCTACATAAAAAGCTCCTAGTTTTGTTGTTTGCTTTAAACCTTTGTACTCTAAGAAAATGTAGCCCAATACTTCTGTGAACCTCCCAAATCATCGTTAAGATTTTAACTGGCTGTGCCAAGCACCAACAGCACCATTCTTGGAAGATTCTGAAAATTAATTTACACGTAATGTTAAGATGGCTCGTAGTTTTAGTTTTCCCTTTTTTTTTTCAGGCACCCCAAGCGTCGTAACTATGTTTTAGAACTTGGCAGCAAATGCTTTAATCCAGTTCCTGCATCGTCTCACCCACTCAAAGCTATCACGGTGAGTACATGAATGATACCATGGTAATCTGTAACAATAAGGAGTTCAAAATAATTATATTTTGAAGATTAAAGCAGTAGCAAGTGTGCCCAAAATTACAGCGTAGTTTTGTTGGGGGTTTTTTGGATTAAGTTGGCAAACAGGGCTTTTGAATTGATGGCAGTCAATTCTGTGAATAGCTTCTGAAGTAGCCTTGGTCCGGGTATTGTTTTTCAAAAATGATCCAATGTTTGAATTAAATAAACAGTTTTCCATAAAAGGAAAATATTTCTGTTTCTGACAAAACACTTATAAATCTCTTAAAGCCATTTTCTTTGAACTGATAACTTTTGCATTCTTTTGTCATATTCAGTTAAATGATAAGGAGAGTAAACATTTGACTGTCAGTATTTTAAAGTAAACCCTTGGGTATCAAACTGTTGATTGATCTATGATATTATATTGTTTATGTTATGGCGTTTTACTGCTTTATTGTTTTTCTCATAGGTCACAGATGTCCAACAGAAGAAAGGAAATTCTGGTGCTGCTGCATCCAGTACCAGTAAAAAGACCCCTTTTGTGGATCCCCTTAGCTTCTCTGACCCTCTCAGCGGTGGAGTCAGCACTGAGTTTGAGGGGTCTGATCCTCTGTCTATGATGTCTGCACCATCAAAATCTTCTATGCCTTCTAAATCTAGTCGATCAAACAGCGTAAAGGTAAAAGTCTCCACTGGTGTTCAGGATTTTAATACATGGACATTTTTATTTCAGTATTTTGGGGAAAGTCTTTGTTGTGCATAGGCTAAAATGTAATAGAAAAGCTATAATTACAGCTCAGTTCTGTAAATATTATATGTTGTCGGATTTAAGCACATGATTTTAACCCTCTGATCCCTGGCTTTTCGAGCGCATTGAACCGACACATTTGAACTTCTCACGGATGATTTATACTTTCGTCAGTACAAGCTGAATCAAGTGTTTAATGTGTGACAGGGTAAAGGTGGTGCTCAACTGGTCCATCGCTATTGTGTTTTGGTCATCAGTGTTCCCGTGGTTTTTGCTTCAGATACCTCAGGAATATAGGATACAGGGGACTATCATTGTTGATCATAAGGGATATGATTATATGTTGAAATGGAAGCTGATAACATGCTTCAAAAGGATTGGAATTCGCATTATTTTTAAAGTAATGACTTGGACCTGATGCCATTCCAACCCATCTCAAAGTTAATTTATTATCATGCTTTTCAATGACTTTTTTTTGGTTATATTCTTCATGATGGTTACAGCATCTTAATTCTGATTTTGTTCTCTGAACCAGCTGCTTTTGATTTTACTTGTTTTTAAAAATAATCTTGACTGTTATATTTTGATATGTATAGATCTATATAAATATGTTCACAATTATTTTAAGGGCATTCGTTATGTTTTGTTTTTTTCAAATATGAATGCTTATTTGACAATATTATTTTTTTGACAGAGTCAAAAGATGGATGGTGAAAATGAAGAAATTGATGATTCTTTTGAACCATGGTCCTTGAAGAGAGCTGGTATCCTGACTAAGTACACAACATCAGAAAAATTGTCAATAACAACAAGCTTTTTGTCTACTGGTGATCAAGAAAGAGGTATGTAAAGTATTAATTATTGTTTGTATCTTGAATGATTGCTTACTGTACACAGCTCTCACCTGAGCACCCTGCATTTCTTTTCTGATGGTTGGATTAGGAAAGAAAGAAAAACGAACCTCTTTTGTCCCAGGGGAAAAAATATGGATTACAAAGGCTTGTCCTAAAAGTGATCTTTCATAGTACACTCAAACCCTCCCAATGACCACCTGTATAAGACAATCACGTTTACGAATGACTACTTCCCATTTCCAGCCTTACATTTTTTTAACATTGTGATATTATGATGACACTGTGAAGATGGCCATCTGCCTAAGGCAGCCTCTTTTCTTCTCAAAAATGGGCGGCCTTTTTAGACTGTACATACATTGTTTGGGAAACTGAATATATAACTGACAGGTAATACATACACTATAAACACTGGTGCTTTACTAGCAATATCACAAATGAATTGTTGTTGGTTTTCACAGCATGTTTCTGTGTTCTCGAGCAAAGACTAATGCATCTTGTCTCTGGATACACATAAGTGACTACTCATCTAGATTTGAACATTTAGACGGGCATTGAAAGAATGAAGGATAATAATAGAGGATAAGGAAGGATAAGAATGAGAGATTTGGAGTGTGGATTAGGAACACACGTAGTATATAGTAAAGGAAAATTCTGAGTATTTACTTAAAGCTCATGCTGAGTATAGAAGGACATACTTATAGTTCTGTTATCCACTAACGGGTATTTGGGGGTCCTTGTATAGAGTGATACCATTAAAGTGTTATGAATGCAACATATCAGAAACAAAGGAATCATCTATTATCTCTATAAAATTGTGAATTCTGAAGGCTCACTGTTATAACTGGGCACAGTTTAGACTGTCCTATGCTTGAGGCAAGGTGTTGACCCCTATGCTGTTTGGAGACCTTGAGTTCTCACTTACTTAATTTTGTTTGTGGATTTAGAACAGAATAACATACAGGATGATAAAAAAAACAACCTGTACTACTTTTTTCCTTAATATCTTGCGCAATATGTGTACTAAAATGTTGTGATTTGGAACAGATATAATTCATTCAAAAGGAATTGTTTGACATAAAATTCACAAAGAAGAAACTTATTTTCGAAAATGGAAATGGCTTTTATAAAACCTCCTATAAATGCAAAATGCACCAATTTAAAAGATCTTGTAAGGAAAGTCATGAAATAATTGGTTTGTTTTTCCCTTTCCTTTTAATTTTTAAATCTAATCTTTCCATCCTTGTTACTGGTATACAATATTTCTTTTCTCCTACAGAGTAAAAAAAAAAAAAGAAAAAAAAAGTTCTTGTTATTCCAAGAACCAATGGTGTTTGTGTCCTCCTTT